CACTTTCTTCTTCTTAGGTTATATCATGGATTTCGATTGGTCTTGGAGGACCTGCTGTATATTACATTTGGGTAGGACTAACAAGAGTCCAGGAAAACAACAACAACAACAAAAAACTTGAAACATCCAGTGTGGGTACTCCAGACTATTGTAGGAAACCACAGTTAAAAGAACAGTGGTCTGTAATAATAAAGTCACTCCTAGAGGGATGGTAACAGTCCTAGGAACCGAATACTAAAATCCCAAATGCCATTTGCTTTTCTGAATGAATAAAATTACATCCTCAGTGATTCTTACAGAGTGGAACATTAGTTGAGTTTGTCTGTTCATTCTTAATGGGACTATAGTTTGTGATTGTCCTCCAGTAGCATGTGCAATTTTACTTCATCTTGCACTCTGATTATGAAAACTGGCTGTGTGCTGTGCAGTGAATCATGCTGTGATTCTCTTTGAAGAGGTCAGCTTAAAAAAAATCCTGAGGAATATTATTAGATGCAAACTGCACCATGACTGAGTTAAAATGCAGCTAGAGTATTATATCCATTTCATCGTCACCATTATCTTTTCCCCTCTGTCTCACCATTGTAACTGGTAGCTGCCTTTTTCTATAAAATGGATAGATCAAAAGTCAAAAGTTGCCTTTTTTTTTTTCCTTTCAAAACACAGGGTTAGTTGTGTTGCACAGAAAGTGATAATCACTCCAGAGCCTGTGTTTCATAAACGGAATGCAAAAGAAGGGCAGATGCGGAAAGTATCACTTAGCACAAAGTTCACTTCTAGAGGTCTGCAAATGTCTTTACCAATCGCCAAGAAAATAATGGAAGGTGCAAAATAACCACTTCCCACTTCATTTGAGTCAGGCTCTCTTAAAGTAGAGGTCTGTGCATTATCTTTCTCAGATAAAAGAAAAAATATATATGCTTTAATATAACACACAGTTCTAAMCTGGCTAATGTTCTGCCAAGTTCTGACTGTTGAACCTGACTTTACTCAGGAACCTTTTACAGGTCTAGCTCCTCAATCTGAGACTGATTGAACTGCCTTCTTCCGCAAGACAGGAACTTCATCCAGGCTTTCTGGATCAGTCCTTCGGTTTCTGTGTGAGCTGTAAGATCTTGTAGACCAAGTTCAGGTGTGATAGCAGGGGAGCTGTGTCTTGTACCTAAGATACAAGCTTTGTGTCAGCTAACAGCTAGGATGTAAATCATTCCCACAAACTGTGTGGCGTAGATCTTAGGTTGGTTACTGAATTTCTTTACTAAAAGTCATCTTGCTGATGACTGCCTTCTGCCAGTCTTTGCCTGCTCTTAGCAAGTGTCTTTTCTTACTACAGGATCCTGCAGATCTATTAAACTTATCTGCAGTTTAGTCTGCACTGCTACTTTAATCATGTCACTCCAAAATATTTTGTGTAAATTGAGAAATGACTCAAAGCATTTGCTAATCTTGGCCTGCTGTGATTGAGATGGCTAGTGGAAATGCAGTATTTCTGGGCATGACATATCTTCCTGGCAGCAGGCACGTGAAGACACCTTGACAGTAGGAGAGAATTTGGAGGTATTTTTAGCATTGATGAAGCTCTTAAAGTAGCAGGTATGCCTCTGTATATATTAAGTGCTTCTGTACACACACTTTTTGATAGTCCTAGTTCCATACATGCTGCCATAATGGGAAAAAGCTTGGACAGTTACAAATATGAAATGCATACTGAAATGTGTTTGCTAAATTCTGCCCATTTCATGTCTTGAATTATCTGTGCTTCTGATATGAATTCTTTTGGAAAGCACTATTTGAATTCAGTAGGGGAATATTTTCTGCAGCTCCTTAGTAAGCATTTGAGTCTAATGATTCTGTATTTAAAGACTCAGAGATGCTCAGAGGTCACCTTATAGATCACTTTTTGAGTGACTTCATAAACCTAGGCTTGTCATGAGGCTGTTGCTGATTTCAAATTTGATTTCTAAAATTTCTTCTAATACTAATCTAAGAGGGAATTATTGAAAAGAAAATGCCAGCGGTTTAAACATTTAAAATATGCCATCTTCCTATACTGCTTGCCTGATTCATGATGAAGCAGCCTCAGCGTTCAGTTTTTCAATCACAAGCTCATGCTTTTGTTTCAATATATAATTAATTGAGTTCAGCTTTGTTAACACCAGTTCTAAACCAGAGTTTTATGTGAGAAAGGCAGCACTGAAAATCAGTGAGACATTGTTGTTTGAATACCTCTAAAGATTTAATTATTTATCATCTGGATATAATTAGTTGCAGGTGCACACAAGCAACACGAAGGCAATACCAAAAATTTGGTAAAACAGAAGTCTGAGATCCACATAGCACTTACAGAAGCAAACCAATCTGGGACACTGAAAGAACAAATTAAACGGGGTATCAGGTATAACATATTTGGAAAGATCACTTGTAAGTTTTCCTGAATTATCTAAAAAATATGAAAATACCAAGAAAGAAGGTGATAAATGACATGCTACATATCATAACCTGAGGGCTGCTAAGGCAGAGAACATAGCCCTGTTCAAATTAAGGAAGATGCAGCTGAAAGGTCTCTGCTTTATACCCTGCAAAACAGAATGCCAGTCCCATGGCACTGACATTCAAAGTTGTTTTCATGAAATTGGGGCCTATGYTTATATAAATGTGTTATCTATTGATTTGGTTTACTTGCCATGACAGTTGCTTCCCATACTTAAAATTCTGGAGTTTTACTTCTCATTATTTCTGGTCTTGACCCAAAGTCCATTCATATCAAGGTGAGTGTTTTTCCATTGACATCCAGTGGACACTGGGTCATATCTTAATTCATCCATTCCCAAGAGTAAGTCTAAAACTGTTGAACTACTGTAAATTCAGCATTCACAAWCAATCATTTAGATGCAGAAATGTCTGGTCAATTCAGCTGAGCCTCTGTCCTTTTATCACTAAAAAAAACCCCATATATTCTGGTATTTGCCCAATGAACAGCTGTTCTGTGCCTGTATTCCTAAGTGCACAATATTATATTTTTCTGCCATTTGTCGCTCATTTCCATTCTCCTTTTAGAACTCGATGTGTTTTTAACAAAACCAGTTTCTTGAACAATTCTAGTTTCCAGTTTGCTCAGTGTTTAGAAGATTCTGTTTTTCTTGCACAACATGAAAAGATGCAACAAGTATTTTTGTCTCGTCTTCTGCTTTTTTTTCCAAATCTTTCTTTTCCTTATACCCTTTGCTAGAGAATATTTACTAGAGAATGTTAGTAAAGAAAAATTAAAACAAGTGCACTTTGCTAAATAAATGAAAAAGGCCAAATGAGCATTTATTTTAGGTTAATCAGATGTCTACTCAGAGGAAGAAAAGTAGCATCTCTCATTCAAGAGGAGCAAAAAATCCCCAAATCTAAACAGTGTGCAAATGCATCATGAGCACAAATATGTTTGCTTTAATTAGCCATTGAACAATTAGAAATAAATATGCAGAAAATCAGTGTGATTTGCAAATCATTTGTGAACAGAAAAAGAGCTGCCAAATACACTGGAAAACTGATTAATTGCAATTAGTGTGTCAGGTCCTGATCATACAAAGTGAATTTTCTACTGATCTGATTTCAGTGGAAATGAGTATGGGCCCACGCTAATTAATTCTCACTTCAAATCAATTGACTTAATTTCTTTTAAGGGAATTGTATTTTTTTCTCAACAATAAAGAATGTTACCATTACTTTAAAATCTTTAAAGAATTGCCAATTATCTGAATAAGAATCACTCATACAAAAAAAGGAAAAAAAAAAAAAATGTGGGGCCTCTTGCCATGTACTTGACAAAAGTACTTGAATCTCAGCTTAACAGAACATTGATGTGAGTCAAATGTCCCCAGACAGTCCATGTCTCATTTTATTTAAATGTCTTGGGTTCCCATTTATCAACAAGCTCAAATATTTGTAACTATTCTCCATTAATAGAAATAGCAAATGAGACAAAGGGCTTTTTTTTTTTTTTTTTATGTTTCTTTGTTTTGTTTCTTTTCTTTTTCTGGGATATCGATCATTTTGTAAATATTTTAATAGAGCCAATATTTTGTTCAGAATACTGAGCTCATAGTGCTGTTCTATTTGAAGCTGCCAAGGGTTTTGCTCATGACCATTTTGACGGCAAGAATCAAGTTTAGTCRCTGTGTCTGCATTGTGTGCAAAGGATGAATGTGAGGCTTTCTTCAAGACCTGAACCATCAGCAATTTATAAAAATAAAGCCTGGTAGAGGAGGGATTCTTGGAAAATGCTGCTCCTTCCTCTGCCTGAGAGCATCCGGTGGGTTTGCAAACTGCCAGGACAGGAGATCTGCAGGGAAGGTAGTAATTGCCAGGAAGTACTGAACAGAAAAAAAAAAAAAATCAGATTTAATCCCCTTCCAAAGAAGCTAATCCGTGATGTTTCCATCCTTCTTACCTCATTTCTCAGTCATATTAGTTTTTTAACATGACTTCTGAGCTGCAGATGACTCAAAAGTCCTGATAGTTTCAGACTGGGAGAAAATTATTTTATACTGGAAGTCACTAATGTTAAGCCAAAATGACTATTGCTTCCTGCTCTGTATGAAAGTAAATTAAATAAGGTGGAAAAAAAAAAAAAAAAAAAAAAAAAAAGAAAACCCAGAGGAAATGCATTAGTGTGTTAACCTTGATCAGAAACAACCAATTCCTGCATTTCCACTCCTGAAAATTAAATAAGGTGGAAAAAAAAAAAAAAGAAAAAAAAAAAAGAAAACCCAGAGGAAATGCATTAGTGTGTTAACCTTGATCAGAAACAACCAATTCCTGCATTTCCACTCCTGAACATTAAACCTTTTGTGGAACATATTCTATCTTTCAATTCTTGCACAATTCTGAATAAGAAAAATAATAACCTGAAGATGCACTAATTGTCAAAGTGTTACAAGGGAATCCTTGAAGCATAGAAGTCAGTCACATCAAGATTAAAATCAGTTTGATTGAACTTGACATCAGTTTGACACTGAATTAGCTATAGTGATTTGAACTGATAAAACAGCAGAATCTGGAATTGGGAAACTAGTCCTCAAAAGAAGCAACAAAGGAAAAGGTGCATTTAAAAAAAARGRRGRAAAAAWGTTATRGGGAGTAAAAAAGAAATGTATAGAAGTAATATATAACAAAGCATGAGCTTGCAGAGCTCTGATGAGAATCAGAGACATTCCAACTTATAGTTGTTAATGTTGTTCCACTGCCACAATTACAGCATCTTTCCTGTTTTCAGGCTGGCTGAGCCATCTGGCACAGGCATCCGGATAAAAGTTACACAATTATTAAAACAAGCTACAKTAATTTAAATTAATCACAGCATACCAAAATAACTGGCCAGAAGCATTACATAGTTGATTTGAACATCATG